ATATAGTTTATATAGGGAAATAACACTTTTCGGTATATATTTTATCCATTTTCAGCAGAAAATTGCTCAAACTTAGTCAGAATCATCTTGGGTAAATGAGAGTTTTACTTTGTAAAATTAGGATTCCTGCCCCATCCCCAGGGGCTAGGGCGGGGCCCCAAAGGGAACATTTACCAATATTTTCAAATTCTTATCCATTGATGACATGACAAGTATTGTATTTCACTTAGTTTACATGCTGATTTCCACATCACATCTAAACAATAAAATAAAGCTACCAGTATCTATGATATAACTCAGGTGACCGCTAAGGCCCTTGGGCCTCTTGTTTAATATGCTTGACCATATGCTTTGACCCAATATGTAATCAAGTTTAGATAAAGACTATTATTATTCTTATTCTTGCTGTGTGTATACCAGATATCTGTACAGTAATTTTTTTTGTCTAGTTCAACAGCTTCCCCTGGCTAAAAGTGTTCTATTTTCACAAACTGAACAAACAATCAGGAATACCTCCCTAATTTCAATAAAAATAATACTTCATTTCCCAGATTCATGTAGGAACAGACTGGTGTAAAATGTATTTTGAAAAAAACCTGATGTATATTCTACAGTAAGCATTATAACTTACTATATCAAAAATAATACAGCAATATGAGTTTTAATAGATAAAGTTGCACACTTTCAGTTACTTGAACCTTTAAGAGGAGCACCTACAACTGAACCTGGAACATATATAGTACCACCTACAACTAGACTAATTTTTTTGGCCTCTGTTTATTTCAGGGGGGACCCCCACCCCACCAGCAGGAGGCCTTGGGGGTCTGTTTGCCGGCGGGCTTCCAAGACTACCCAGTGCTAACAAGAGACAACCAGGAGGTCCAAGAGGTACATGTAGATAATGCAGGACAACTAGTTAATCAAGAATTATCGCATTTACCCCTTAAGACACATGTGAACTCTTCCAATTCAAAAGTTGGAATAGTTCATTATGAGATTTTAGGAGTGAATGAGTTATAAACAGCTTCACTGAAATTGGGTCAAATTATTTCCTTACATTTTGAAAGTGTCTATAGGTACAGGTACATGTTTATATTTGTAAATCATATCCCAGACTGAACACTTTTTTCCAGTTTTAATAATCAATGAAAAACAGCAAATTTTGTCCAAGAATATTTTTATTTATAAAGATTTAGGTAAAATTATTTTTTATTAACAAGATAAACTTTTACCAGCATGGGGGTCCATTAAAGCCTTATTAGCTTGCAATTGTTACCCCATATCTTTAAAGGACAATCCAAGATCCAAGGCATTCAAGATATCTGATTTAATAAAGCTACTTTTATTTATTTTAAAAAGCATAATCAAATTTTCTTTTGCTATTAATAGCATTTGTGAAGTGAAATTGTAGACCTTTTCATTTAAATGTGGGGTATTATTTTTCAATCTATCAAATTTATTCTAGAAACGAAGTGCAAAAATGTTGTTCTTTCTAAATCAGTTTGAAGTTCTAAATGAGCATCAGTTAACTTAGGTTAAAGAAGAACATGTATTTATTCATGGTTGAGAGACCACCTAGAAACAATGTATTTTTATTTTAGCTCCAGGACCAGCTCAAGCCCCTCGTCCCCCTGGGCCCCGCATGGCAAATGGACCATCAGCAATATCAAACGGTCCAACGCAAAAAATTGGTGGGCGTCTACCGCCTCCACCATCAAACACAAAACCCGGTCTGAACCCACGGCCCACATCCAACGGACAGAGCCGACCTGGACCCCCCCCGCCACCACCCGCACATAATAAGCCGGGCATGGCTGGTAGCCCAGGAAAGCTGTCAAATGATGACAGAAATGGTCATGTGAGAGGAAGTAATACCTCATTGAACAGTAACTCATCAAGACTTTCCAATAGTGGAGAATATAATATAAATTCTATAAACAATAATGCTCGACCGAGGTCAGGGGTCAGCGGTGGTGTTCCGAGGTCACAACCTCCCCCGCCCCCAAATCGACCTCCCCCTACGACAGCCCCTGGGAAGCCTTCAGGACAATGGCCACCTCCCCCGCCCCTACAATCGGCAAAAGCGCCAGGGGCACCACCCCCTCCCCCACAATCGGCGAAAGCGCCAGGGGCACCACCCCCTCCCCCACAATCGGCGAAAGCACCGGGGGCACCTCCCCCGCCTCCACAATCATCAAAAGGGTCTGGGGCACCTCCCCCACCACCCCCACAGTCAGCTAAGAGTGGACCTCCACCTCCTCCTCCTCCACAGTCGGCCAAGGTGCCAGGAAGTAGGCCCCAGAGTATGGTTGGTAGACCACTACCACCACCACCCTCACAGGTATGTACCACTGTTAGTGTCAATGGGAGAAGGGACATAACTCTTAGTTTTTCCAGTCGTCCAATATCTAAACAGTAGTTTGTTACTACTTATTGTCGTGGACAAGGTCACGTAAAATTATGATTTTTTTTTTTTTACTTGAAGTAGTGAAAATTCACTTACAATTCACATACAATTATTTAGAAAAAGTCATCTATATATATGTAAAATGCACAAAAAATAAATAAAAAATAACAAAAAATTGTGGAAAAATCTGATTCATTATGAAAATAGCCCTAAGAGTCTACTGAAGATGTCGGTGCACATATGGATATTAGTGATGCATTTTTTTCATTTGTTTTTTCATTTTGAGAAGGCTTTAAGGAAAGAGTTTAAATCTAGCTCAAGCTCTTAACCAATCAAATTTGGTGTATAGATCCTTATTATGCCAAAAAGTGATAAATATTCAAGTGATTAAGTAATGTTGAAAGGCCAATCAAATCAAAATGTCTTACCTGATGCAAACATCGTAGGGGATTCATGATTTTAGATTGAAATCTTGAACTTTGCTGTTGAAGAAGGCTTTAAAGAAAGACATGTGAGAGACAAGATGACTCTGTATGAGGCAGTTCATATGTATTCCTTCTGTGTAGTGGAGAAGTCATCATGTACTGTGTGTCTTAGTCAGGTCTATTGTAGATGGAGAAGCACTGTCGTGTGTATCCGACTGTATCTATACACCCTGGCTTCACTCTGTATCTTTACACCCTGGCTTCCTGTTATTCTTGTATAGTCTTGGTTCTTCCTGTCTGTTGGACTCAATTAAATGAATTGATTGACTGGTGGTCAGCATGATGATGATGAAAAGAGCAAAGATAAGGAATTAAATGGAAAGAAATTTAATGGAAATAATTTCCACTTATCTTCACCTAAACAATATGACTGTTAAACTGTGTTCTATAAACAAATATTAAATAGACTTTCTACAGTAACCTCAATATAATTAATCATATTTTAAATATGAAAATTAATAAAAAATAATATTGTATGAGTGATTGTTATATTTTGAAAGAGAAAACCTAGATGATTGAAGCTTATAAGTATGGGGGATTTGTGTGTGTGTGTCCATTCAATAACATTCATTAACTGACACTATTATAATTAGTAAACTCCTGAATATTGTGTAGGTTACTAGCGTTAACATGTAGATGGTGTTTGTCCACGTGTATATAGCTGTAACAGGAAGTGGTACTTGGATTAAACAGTCTCAAGTCATGGATGGCCTTAATCGTCGTGTTGCTTTAAATCAGTCATTTGATGAAAAGGGAAGTTTTGATGATGATGATGAAGATGATATTTTCGGTACTTATCAAGTTCCTGACAATGCTAATGCCACTCATACGGTACCTAGGCCAATTGCTTCCTTCAAAAAACGTAGACCGCTTCCAGAGGTACCGACTGCCGTTAAACCCTGGGTGGCCAAAGCTGTAAGTCAAATAAGAAATTGGATATGTGTTTTGCAGGAGTGGGTTATTTTCTGACTGTGAGTATTTTGTAGTAAAATGTGCTCCCATGTTTTAAGGCTTAATTCCAGCGTAGAGTCTATGCATCCACATAATTAGTGCGTGGCAAAGGTAAAGGAATCGGGGCAGGAGTGGTGATGGGGGTATTCCCACCCCACCTCAGTCCACAAGGTTGCATTGTTCAACACAAACAATGATGATAAGTCAGTGATCTGATTAATTGTCTGACTATAATTTAGTCATTTCTTCATGTGGAGCATCACAAGGAGGAACAAGTTATTAGTTCTGGGTCTTAACTAGATATGATCCTGGATACAATAATGCTCATCTTTTTGTCAGTCTCTCTGCTTCTGCTATATATGGTATGTACTTTATGTGTTGAAAATTAAATGTTAAATCATTGCATATAGATGAGAAATATTGGTTTGACTTGGTTGATAACTTATTTGACTAAAATTCTTACTTGCTGTAAGGCTTCACATATTCTTTCCTTCATTGTTAACTTAATTTTGTTCATTTTCAGGGGGCACCACCTCCTCCTCCTCCTTCCAACAGGCCGCCTCCTCCTCCGTCATCGATGTTGAAACCAACAAATGGGAATCGACCACCTCCCCGGACAAATCAGCCCCCACACCCTCCCCCTGCAAGCCAACCTCCATCTCGACAAGGTGGTCCCCCACCGCCGCCTCCAACAAGAACCACATCAGCGAATCATGGTGGAACTTTACCACGTAACCCAGCAGTGAAGCCACCTCCCCCACCCATGCGGGTCCCCACGAGCACAGTTGCTATGCCCCCAAACCCTCCACAGAGGCGGTCGGGCAACTACTCCGGTGGAACAGATGGTGAGGGACTAGCATGAATTCATATGTATCATACTGTATGACTATCATGTATATGTAAGATAGACATTTTTCTTACCCTGGACAGGTTTATCCGCACTTTTACCGGTGTGAGATTTCCTTGTCTCTTACCCTGGACAGGTGTATCCACACTTTTACTGATGTGAGATATCCTTGTCTCATACCCTGGACAGGTGTATCCGCACTTTTACTGATGTGAGATTTCCTTGTCTCTTACCCTGGACAGGTGTATCCACACTTTTACCGGTGCGAGATATCCTTGTCTCTTCCCCTGGACAGGTGTATCCACACTTTTTACCGGTGTGAGATTTCCTTGTCTCACCCTAGGGTTGAGACGGGGGGATTCCCGTATTCATAACAATAGTATGACGTCATTTCAACAATACAATGACATCACGTCAACAAACCATCAATGACACGTCAACCCTGAATTTAGCGTGTAACTTTGTCATTGCATGGTGTATTGGATCTTTCCAATGCTGCAATGCGGAAAGGCAACGTGATGAAATTAAAACCTTATAATCACTGACCAACTTGTTTGATCGAAATATGTAGCTGCCATCATGAAGCAAAAATCAACTTGATAGAAATGAAATCAATTTAAAAATTCTTTCACTTTTGCCTTCTTCACTCTTTGTAATGAGGGCAAATGTACCACAAGTTTAAAAATAAGTACACAACATATACAAGGTGTAATAACATATACAAGGGGTAATAACATATACAAGGGGTAAAAACATATACAAGGGGTAATAACATATACAAGGGGTAATAACATACAAGGGGTAATAACATATACAAGGGGTAATAACATATACAAGGTGTAATAACATATACAAGGGGTAATAACATATACAAGGGGTAATAACATATACAAGGGGTAATAACTTATACAAGGAGTAATAACATATACAAGGGGTAATAACATATACAAGGTGTTATAACATATACAAGAAGTAATAACATATACAAGGGGTAATAACATATACAAGGGGTAATGACATATACAAATGGTAATAACATATACAAGGGGTAATAACATATACAAGGGGTAATAAAATATACAAGGTGTAATAACATATACAAGGGATAATAACATATACAATGGGTAATAACATATACAAAGGGTAATAACATATACAAGGGGTAATAACATATACAAGGTGTTATAACATATACAAGGGGTAATAACATATACAAGGTTTAATAACATATACAAGGGGTAATAACATACAAGGGGGAATAACATATACAAGGGGGAATAACATATACAAGGGGTAATAAAATATACAAGGTGTAATAACATATACAAGGGGTAAAAACATATACAAGGGGTAATAACATATACAAGGTGTTATAACATAAACAAGGGGTAATAACATATACAAGTGGTAATAACATATACAAGGGGGTATTACATATACAAGGTGTAATAACATATACAAGGGGAAATAACATATACAAGGTGTAATAACATATACAAGGGGGAATAACATACAAGGGGTAATAACATATACAAGGGGTAATAACATATACAAGTGGTAATAACATATACAAGGGGTTATTACATATACAAGGTGTAATAACATATACAAGGGGTTATTACATATACAAGGTGTAATAACATATACAATGGGTTATTACATATACAAGGTGTAATAACATATACAAGGGGTTATTACATATACAAGGTGTAATAACATATACAAGGGGTTATTACATATACAAGGTGTAATAACATATACAAGGGGTTATAACATATACAAGGGGTAATAACATATACAATGGGATAATAACATATACAAGGTGTAATAACATATACAAGGGGTAAAAACATATACAAGGGGTAATAACATATACAAGGTGTAATAACATATACAAGGGGTAATAACATATACAAGGGATAATAACATATACAAGGGGTAATAACATATACAAGGTGTTATAACATATACAAGGGGTAATAACATATACAAGGAGTTATAACATATACAAGGTGTAATAACATATACAAGAGGTAAAAACATATACAAGGGGTAATAACATATACAAGGTGTTAAAACATATACAAGGTGTAATAACATATACAAGGGGATATTACATATACAAGGTGTAATAACATATACAAGGGGTTAAAACATATCCAAGGGGTAATAACATATACAATGGGATAATAACATATACAAGGGGTAATAACATATACAAGGGTAATAACATATACAAGGGATAATAACATATACAAGGGGTAATAACATATACAAGGGGTAATAACATATACAAGGGGTAATGACATATACAAATGGTAATAACATATACGAGGGATAATAACATACAAGGTGTAATAACATATACAAGGGGTAATAACATATACAAGGGGTAATAACATATACAAGG